CAAATCATCATGTTCAAACAATACTAACAGTATACGTGATAAAATTAAAGGACTCACAAGATTTTTTTAAACATGAAAACAAAAACAGCATTCAAATCTGCTGGTGTTTGCCAAACCACGAGTCTTGAATCGTTATGTATCCGTGCAAGATTTATAACCATTTCTATATTTCTCGATGTTAATGAAACAATAATAGAAACTCATCATAGCATTTAATATTATTTCAATAATAGACAAAACTTCTCATCTACCCCTTTTATATTATTATTTTTTGCATTCAACGGTTTCTAATATTTCTAATATTTTTCCTCCGGGCCCGATCAATAACTTGCATAATTCAAAACTGACGTAAAACCTCAAAAGGTTAACAGACATGTCGAGTGCCTCTGACGTGGACGTTAAATTCCGTTAATGGTTGATGACTTGTCAAGCTTCTTTGACTCGGATAAACTTTATCTGAGGTGGCTTTTTTTTATTGACGTGGCACATGGGTTCCGTATCTAGAATTTCGTTATGGTCCCTAAATTTATCAAATTTTGAATAAGATTGGTCCTTTTACATGTAAAATTTAAACTGATAACCCACCTCAAAGGAAAACAAACTTTACCCATGTGACCATGTGAGTGCATTGATCTTTTCATCTTCCCAAGCTTATTGGTTTGAAAAATCAAAGTAAATGTGTTTGAAATGCATGACTGGGTTTACTTGTTAAAGATCTGTTTTAAAACCACAACATGACTTGAAGCAAAACTAAAATTGCCATTAAATATTTTTTATTGTTAAGATATTTTGTTTCAATTTCTGATTCAAATTCAACAAAGACAAGTTCAGAGGCGTAGATTAAAGTGAAAAGAGAAGACATATAGTTCAAGAAACAGTGTGTTGTTTTGGGCGAGAAATAGGTCCAAACCCGACCCGAAGCTTGGCGGTTACATGGTTCGCTGAACGAAGGCGCCATCCATACAGGAGGATCGTCGAGGCCCAAGCAAATAGACGGTGACATGACATCAAATCGATGAGAAACTGATCGCAAGAGTATAAAGCTAGAGCGAAGAGAATTAGAAAACGAGGAGAAACAAGATGAATCACCGGATATCACATGAGGAAGGTGCCCAAAAAAACCAGCGATGGCAGAAAGATCAAAAATGCTGCGAAAGAAAGGGATCAGAGCTGTTCGATTGGAGCTCACCCATTCTGATGTCATATGGGTTTCAAACCCATCTGCAAACCCTAGATCTTCAATAGGGGGGAACTTGTTCCCTAAACAAATTAAAGAGGACATTTTAGTCCTTTCATTCTTTTCAACAATTATTTTATTTTAAAATATTGTTGTTAGTTTTTTTTTTATTCGGCCGGGATGACGTAGGTCAGTTAATTGGTTTGTTGGATGCCATGTCATATAATTGGTTGCCACGTCATTAAAAGCATGTCCAAATAATGGCCAAAACAGCAAAACCATATAGGCTAAGGGTACAGAGATAATCTTTCTATATTATTTTTTATATAATTTTTATATATTATTAAATAAATACATATATTTAATATTATAAATTTTAAATAAAAATAAATAAATTATTTTTTTACAATAAAAAAAATAAACTATTTAAATGATAGATAATGTTATATAAATAAACAATATAAAAAGATTATTTTTAAATTATTTTTTAATCATATAATGTGATGAAGCATCTGATGGAATGTAAGGGCACGTGCTTCACAGGTGACATGTTGTTAGCTTTTGGGGTTTTTGGTAGGTTTTGAATTGTACATGGTTTTGACGAGAGAAAAAATATTAGAGGATGTTAACTATAAAAAATAATAACATAGGTAGTGCAAATAGAAAGTTTGATATAGAAGAAGAAGAATTCTTATCCTCATGCTTATCGACATCAGTACATTTGGTTAAGTTACTTGTTCCACACTCATTAAAAAAGATTAAAACTTTATTTTAGTTTCTTAATTTTAATAAAAAAAAGTTATAATTTTTTTATTTAAAAAAGTTTCTTTTTAATTCTTAAAGTTTATTATTTAATTATTTTTTAATTTTTTTGTTACTTTTTTATATATGTAATATGCTAAATAACAAAAATTTTAAAGTAGATAAATTGAAAAGTAGTATTTTTAAATAAAAAGATCAAAAAGTAACTTTTTAAATTTTTTTAAATCTTTTTATTTTGAAATTTCTTTCACCTAACATACTATAAATATAAAAAATAATAAAGGGATTAAACAAGGATCAAAAGATATAAATTTTAGGGATTGATAATAGACTAAACATGTTTGAAGCTCACGAATATACTGAAGGCTGGAAGCAAGCACCATTGATAAAATGCAAAAACACTATCATCTTGCCTTCCACGCTACCAAGCGAAGGTTCATCTTAGTCCTTAGGATCATTTCAAATACAGCATTCTCATTCCAATTAGCGGCATTATGTAAAATCAATTTTTATCATGAACCAGCTGGTGGACCAAATTCTCACAAAGAACAAGATTGACCATACCTCTGCGCTTACAAAACTGGCAACTCCTACAGAATGAGTCGCCCTAAAGAATGTATTGAGTCCGAAAAAATATATGGAACAAAACCCCCACCAATTGTAGGCTTGTAGCATCTCTTCCACAAACCTTGGACAACCTTGCATCAAGCACATGCGGTCAACATATTTTGATTCATTCCTTACCTTAGTAAACTCACCCTGCATTTCCGGATTTTGTCTCTCAGATTTGTTGCTGTTCACTGGTTTTATTGTCTTTTAACCAACATTTT